CTGTTTGCCGGGAGCTGAAAGCAGAGCAGTCCTGCTCCTTCGCCGCTGGGACTCACACGGGCAGGAAGCTCCTGAGAAAAGTGGTCTTGTCTGTCTTCTCTCTGGAGTCTGGAGGCTATTTCTATGTGAAGCATTAGGTTTTCTTCTCTCCGTGCTTTAAGTTTCCCTCTCTTCAGGTGTGAACGCGAGTGATAAGCGCGCTCAGAAGGTGCCCATCATCTGCAGGTAAGCGTGGTGCTTGTTTCCCCAACCCCTCCAAGACCGCAAGAGAAATAACCTTCTTGTATTACCTGTTTTTTCCTCACCACTACTCAAGTACAGCAGCAAAATGAGAGATAAAAGGCAATTCCAGCACCAGGCAACAGAAAGAGAAATCTGCCTTTCCACGGCTCTCGAGGACCCTGGCTTCACCCAAACGGCCAGGCAGGGAAAAGGGAGGTCCCCTCTGTCCCCACTGGAGGATAGAGGGGCCACCATCCTCACGACCTGCTTCCCCTTCCTCCAGCTAGCCTGGCCACGGCTGAATAAAGTCTCACAGGTGCGGCAGTGCCCAGGCAGGAATAAGGGATATCGTAGCAGCAGAAGCCTCTGCTAGTTTTAGCCCGGTGCACGGTGGTTTAGGCAGGGAGACAAGATTGTTTCATGAAATCGTGGGAGCTGAAGTGTGAATCACAGTAAACCCTAGCCCTGCCGGCGGGGGGAGACTCACTCAGGGACCACCACTACGTTTAACTCCTGCTCTGCTTGCTCTGGCCAGCGCCGGCGGCCCGGGTGGGAAGGGGAGTTTCGGCAGAGGAAGTTCAGCAAAATCTCTTACGGGTGGGAGCTGTCGATTCGCGCAGCTGGGAATGACACTGATACTGCTAAGTGTTTCACAAGGACTTGCTGGTAATTCTGCAGAGCGAATGGCGAGCGTGCTGTTACCTCTCAGCAAGGCAACAGGCTTGAAAACACTTTTCTACAAATGTCTTTGCATTTAGGCAGCTTAGCTGTTTTGAGATATGTTGGTTAAAACTGGGCATGGTGGATTGATTACACCAATCTCCACACGCAGCTTGCTCGCCCAGAATATCAGACACAATATTCTCTCTAAGAATTACTGGACAACTTTACCCTGTTCTTCTGTTTTTTCAGTCTAATTTCTTGCCAGGAAGGTTGGACGGCACCGCTGATGTTGAAACGTACCTCAGCTAGGCTTTGCGTTTAATAGTGCTGTTAAACACCTTCATCTTATAGGTGTTTTAAACACTTATAATTTAATAATCCTACTTAAACACTTCACTGAATCCCGAAAATAACTTTTGAGATTTTAGTACAAATTTCCTTTGCCACAGAAGAGATGATTTAATATAACGGCAATCTTAACAGAGAATTAAAAAATGAGTTTAGTTGTCTGACGCATTATGTGCCACGTTCATTTGGGCACGTAGCTTCTCATAGCTCTGTTTCGGTGTTTAAGTTGTAAAGTTTCATTTGGCTCCCTACGGAGATTATTTTGCATACTACAAAAAAGACCATTCAGCAGGTTTTTTCCCTATATTCAGCCTAATTCCCTGCCTTTATCATCTTACTCACTACATCTTTTCATTCCACCAAAAATAACTCTTCTTTCCTTGATACCGAGTTTTCAGATTGGTGAGTGGTTTGTGTTCCCTATCCTTTCCCCTCTAGCTAAGTTATATATATTTTACTCTCAGTCTTCCCACAAGCGGGTTCCCCCCAGCTGACGTGGCTGGCTGCAGCTGAGGGGCGTCGTTACGGTCGGTGCTCAGGATTAAACGTCATCTCCCAAAGCAGCCTCGCTCTCCTCAAAGCCTGTTGCTTCCAAGATGTTTCAACGTGCCTAATACAAACAGCCCAGGAAAGGTATCTGGCCATAGGGGGGGGGGACAGCTCCTTTCTCCGCTGTCGCCCAGCAGCTCAGTCTAGATCTCCCGTCCCAATTCAATGGCCTGGTTCAACCTCTACATAAAACCATGTCATATCAGCCAATGTTCTTACCAACAGAGTTCTATCGCTATTCACAGTTTTTCTGAGCGCTACCTTAAGCTATGTCTATCTTCACTTATTTTGACATACCTTTAAATGAAGTATTGTCAAAGTTTAATCACTCCCGCCTTCTCATAGAGATATTTAAGAAGAGATATGATCAGTGCTCTTACCTAGTAGATATTTTCCCAAATGACTCTTTTTCTCAAAAGTGCGTTATATACTCTTCAAAGGACCTGACCTTTCCAAATGAAAATTTCTCCATCTAGATTCTGCTGAATTCAACGAGAACGAAGGTTACTTCACATAGCTCAAGACCAAACTCCTAATGAACTCCTAGGCAAAATTGGCATTTTCTGAGGAATTTTAACATTATATTTAGCATTGCTGTGGGTGTTTCAGTATACCGTATTTACACATTAAACCTGTCGCACAGGAGCACATTCAAACTCGGGTTACGATACGTTAACCTGCATTCAGATGGACGCTGAGGTCTGAGGAGTTCCCAGACAACGCTGGGAGAGGAAACGGTCAGGTACATCGGGACAAGCGTTCGCTGTTTGATGACAACGAAGCCTGCTGAGTGGTATCACTGCAAACACAGTAGCCTTTTTGCCCGATCCTACAGCCACCAGCGCCAGCAAGAGCACTTCTAACGACGCTGCTTGGATCAAGAGCGAGTTCAGCACAGTGCTTGAACCACGTGAGGTCTATTAACACCACCGCTGGCTCCTGGTACGGCACAACGTCCCGTAAGAACATCTGAAGACTAAATTACTCATACCCCTGTGAATTACTGCCTGTTCAAACACCACAGGAAGCTATAGGGCAGGCTTTTCAGATGTATAAAGTGTTAAATATTGTTTTTACAATGAAGTTTACCTACACTCACAAGTCTATTTAATAGTTATGGGTATTTTCTGACTTTACCTTGGGAGAGCATACCAACAAGCAAAGTCATTTATTATTGTGTTTTCTTTGACATCCAGAGAAACTGCTGCAAGTATAGAATGTGTCCTTGAATTTGATCTCATTTCTGTATTTCAGGTCTATATAAACTTTTAAATACAAAATATATGAACTAACTGGTGACCGTTGGGCGTATAAATGGTCTCATTGGTTTTACGCAGATTACGTTAGCCCACAAACCATTAGAGTAAGAACTTGCGGGACCCTTAAATAATGTAAAAATGGAGTTTTAAGAGGCCAGAGTTTTGAAGCAAGGGAAGGGCAGATATAGTATCTGTACTTCGTAATGGACAGAAAAATATTTGACACAATGCACGTGGCTCGACAGTACTGACCTGTGAGCGTTAAGTGAATTCCAGCATCTTACTATTAAAACAAACTCTTTACATATACATATTTATTTACAAGACTACCTATATAGCTTATCTAACCTATCAAACAGCTGGCAAAACTTGAAGCAGGCAATAAAAGGAATCAAAATATATTCAGCTCTAGCTAAATTGCATACTGCTAATGCATTCTTTTTCCTGTGCAATTTAGCAAATTAGTTTACATTGTCTGACAAGTTGTCCTGGAAAACATAAAAGCTCAGATTAATTTTAGCTTTGTAGAAATTATAATTCAATATTTGCTTTTTTTCCATCCACCCACGCTACAGTTTAGGACCCATATCTTCTATGTCATGTCAGATATATCAATATCAATAATGTTAAGCCTCCTCCTTCTGAGGATTGCAGGCAGCTAGATGTTGCCTGTGTAGTATATATATTCTCACCTGCGGTGTCAAAACCCTAAAATGAAATGCCCACATTACCGTTTACAATTAGCTTTAACTCTAATTTGTTGTCTCAGAAATATGTTAGTCTACTATACCTCTTCAGAGTTAATAGTACCTTGTTTAATATATTACCCTGTGGTGTTTATATACATTCATTTCAACATATTGCATTCTGATTGATAGGTTTTTAATGGCGCATACAACGTTTAAGTGGTCTGTTTGCAAGTAGAAGAAAATGAAAAAGCCTCATGGGTTATTTCTAAACTATCTTGAAATACTGTGCAGTTTTGCATCAGGTGTAAACGTAACCCACACTGAAAAACCTGTCCTTGGGGGAAGCAATCTTTCATAAGGAAAAAAAACATAATTTGTTCTTAAAAGGGCTTTGATGCCCCATGTACACAACTAATGCCTCTGAACTAAATCTCTACCTACTACAACTATTGTGCTGTGAATGCCACAAAAAAATCAATTTGAGATTAATTACTTCATTTCTTTGACCGCTGTCATAGTCAGGATTGGTCCTCCCAGCATGTCCTGTAAGATTTCATGCAAACCTGACAACCCGTCCTTATTGCACATGACAATATATGTGAGATCTCACATGTTGACAAACAGCTGAACTCTTGGCTACAGAAGCTTTACGTTGGTCTGCTCGCTGTTCAAGGGCTCATATACAGAGGACCTGACATGCCTGCTGAATATTGACGCTTAAAAGCCCTGTAGGGTTACCCCATGAACCGTAGCCGTGCTTTTTTCCCCCAATAATCGCAGAGCAAAAATAAAAGGGCAGTTAAACCTACAGAAATTCTGCAACAGCAGCATGACCACGGCTCTTAAGAGCCCTCTGAATCCTCAGGCATTTTCTCAAACGTGGTTTTAAATTGTTACCACATGAAGAAGATTCCCTCGTTTCTGAACCTACACCATAATACAGTCTGAAATCTCAGTTTCCCTAATAAACTTGCTGCAGCTTTGTGCGCATTAGAAATTGCATCTGCTAGGCTGTATTTGTGCAAGCCTCCTTATCTAAAGGGGGAAAAAAAAAAAAAAAACTGCTGCTTGATTTAAGCTTCCTTTAGGAAATCTGCCTGCACATCTCTGGCTGGCAAGTAAAACAAACAGCATCTACGTCCCGGTAGGCACCCCCCACCCGCGACAGCTCTTCATGCAATTACTTCTAAGGAAACCAGTCTATCCGAGAGCTTGCAAAGCTTCACGAGAGAAACGCTTAAGTATTTATTTAGGAAATGAAATACGTTACCAGCCGCATTGTGAAGTTTCTGAGTCACCTGCAGGGAAACGAGAGGGAAAGCAGCCGCTCACAGCGTATTCCTCACCGTGCTGGAAGCCCAGGCTGGCTCCTACAGCAGAGCAGGCGAGAGCAAAGCTGCAAACCTTTGAGTTGAGCTCACTCTATAGGCATCAGAAAACCTCAAAGAAAAAAAAAAAGCGCCAGAGCGCAAGCGAGTGAACAGCCCACAGACAGCGAGATGAGAAACTTCTGGCACATCTCCAGCGCAGGAATGAATCCACTGTCATTCAGAGATGTACAGCGACGGAAACGAAGGGAAACTCGGATTTACAGATGGATTTTGATCCTGCTCTAATCATTCTGCAAAGATGTGCAGGTTACAGCTCAGCTCAGCTCATTTTATAACGCTTATCCAAGGACAACGTTGAATCAAGAATTAATCGGCATGCTGTTATGGGGGTGTGTATGCATGCGCGCACACACACACACACATATATATAGAGATATAAATACATGTAAGCCAGTTTCCCAAGGTGCCAGCACCAACTTCCACAGGATCCCTCCATCAGCTCTTTGCTGCAAATTTTATTAAGCCCAGCACAAAGGTGCAGTAACAACTGCATCCAAGTGGATTTGCAGTTTTTGTAACGCTCTCTAGACATACGAACAAATTTTTTTTTTTTTAGATTTTTCAGTATTGCCACGATACTAAAATACATTTTTAAAAGATAACTCACAGGTTTTCAAGCATGCAGCAAAAGTGCCAGCACATTGTAAGTAAACTTCTCCAAATATTTATTGCATTTTCAGCCAATGGAAGCAAAATAAACAAGTCCACAGTTGAAGTAGTAAGCCAGAAACATCGCTAGTTACAAATTTTTCATATACTGGTGGAAAGACTCTCTAAAGTCATAAATAACCAAGATCACTAAGGAAGTGTTTCCAATCTGAACTGGTAGAAAAAAAAAAAAAAAATCTGTGTTCTTGAATACTGCTGGTAAAAAGTCTGGTGTTTTGCATTGAACCCCTGCTTCAGTTGTCTCAGGAACTTGCACGCTGGTGGGTTTAGTTATTTTGTGGCCTTGCGCGCAAGGTGAATGAAAAGCTCATGAAAAATCTGTAAGTAAATACTATCTTGGCGTGAAAAGGGAAAAGAGGCTCCATACAGCGTGGGTTAAACTACATTACTGAATTCAGCCTCTTTTATTCCCTGCACTGATAGTGCACTAATTTAAAATCTGGTTACAAGTTCAGACAGTAAATATAGCTACTAATAATTACAGCTCTCAAAATTAGAAGTATGGTTCCTGTAGATTTAGATTGCATTTAATTTAACTAACAAAGGACAGTAAGAAGTCAAGCTAAGCTAACAACTGGGGGGATTCGTTATTGCTTGCAGTCTTCCTATTAATAAATCAGGCCTATGATTTATTAATCAAGAAAATCAAGCAGCAACAAACAAACAAGAATTAGTGACACAGAGGGCAACGCCAAGGAAGACAGAAGGTCTCCAAAACAAAGAACAAAACATTGCCCAGCTCATCTTGGGAATACAGAAGCAGAAGCATCCTTAATATCAGCAATGGTACACTTGGTTCAACTCTGGTTCTCGGATCTAGTACTACAGATGGAGGAGCCGAAAGGAGCCAGTGGTGAACAGCTGCGTAGACATCAAATTCAATGACGTCCCTTATGGTGACAGGCTGATAGAGCCCAGGCTCCCTGCTATTCAGGAGCACTGCGAATACGTCTGCGCTGGCCAGACCAGCCAGGTCCATCTGGCAGCTGGATAGGCACAAAGGCAGCTTTCCAACCGTCCCACTCCTCCCCTGGTGCAGGCACCTCCCAGCCCGACCGAGCACTTTGGACGAAGGCACCCCAGCTCGAGCCCCCAGCGCGGTCCGGGTCCATGGGCTGCATGGATGTCCTGGGCACGCTCGCAGGCTCCGATTTCATCTCCATCACAGCCAAGCACGCTGAAGCAAGGCCAGCACCACGGATAGCCTGGGCAGGAGGCTTCCCCGCAGTGGCTGAGCAACCAACCGACCAACACACAGCTCCAGATACGTAAGACTGACAGTCTGTCCAAGAAGGACTGTCTGGTTGGTACTGCAAATCTGCGTTTTTCACCAGGGAATGGGAGAACCTGTTTTTTATTAGCATTGTCTGTACAAGCCAACATAGGTGTCGCTCGGGCAGGAAGAGCTGGCATTTCAGAACACAAAGAAATTGTCACAGACCCTATTGCTACCGGTGGCAGAAGTGGTGACACGGAGATTCTGCATAACGTTATGCTGTTTAATACTGGGAGCATCACCTAAAACTGGCAGCAAGCTCCATTTTTAAAAAATGGGGCTCATGACGTTTTCCATGATCATTTTCTTCCACCAAGTTGGACTGAAATTACTAAGTACACTGTAGGTCGACAATACAAACGTATTAAACTGAAGATTTACGTGTGGGCAGATAGAACAGCGATGGGAGACCAGCGTGGCTAAAATCTGGGAATGCCGTACCTCCAGGTCCCATCACAGCAAGGGGCAGCAAGGAGGAAGGGTGTCCTGGATTTGGTCTGCTCTGCTAGACATGAGCACGTGGCACCAGATTTGGTTCAAAATTGCCCAAAGTCTGGTCAGCGGCTCAGCCCCTTTTGTTCCTGGGAGAGATCAGAAAGCTGCAGGAAACACAGCCCTCACGCGTCCCCTCCGAACAGGTCCAGTGGGCAAAAGGCTGGTGAGGCAGGCCAGGGACTGCCCAGCTAGGGGAGGCTCTCCAAGGCCTGCGATAACTTATTTAAAGTTAACAGCTGTGGAGTGACCTGTTCTTTTTTTCTTACCACTAAGGAAAACAGGCAGTCTCCTATAACAAAAAGGAGGGGGAAAAAAAAACTCACAAAATAGTGCTTCTTCTTCAAGACAGATGAAGAAGCTTGAGAAAACGTATGTTATGGCAGAGCTCTGGGCAAGAAACAAGCTTATGTCGGAAAATCAATGTAGATGCAAATGCCAGGAATAAGGAGGACTGTGAGCCTGCGCAGACAAGTAATTTAGAAACAGGGTACCAAATTCAAAGACCTATAAAACTTATAGGTTAATGCGTAGAGGCGCAGCGATGCACAGACTTGGCTACAGCTGCCTCTCTCGCCTTTCTGTCTACGGTCCAGCACAGCTTAACACACGGGGCTCAAACGGGCCAGGAGGTAACTCATCCTATAGCGCCCCCATATGCGGTTCACGCTCCAGCCAGAGCTCAGCCCCGCACCCACCAGGCATGTCCTGCTGTGGGCATCTCCAGCCAGGGGCTGCTCTCACGGCCATGCCAAAGCAAAACAGCTCCGAAGAAATAAAAATAGCTGGAGGTGATTTTCTACACACTTATATTAACATATAAGTACATTTCCCCTTGGTATTGGCTTCCTAATTGCGCAGTAGTTGTTGTCATACCCACCCAGACATCGTGCTCAGCACTGGTGGACCAAAGCAGAAGGGAAGAGCAGCCACAAGCGCTCGGTTTCCTGGCCGAATCCTTGTTTTTGCTGTGCTCGGTGCTGAGCCCAGGAAGCTGCAGAGGTGTGAGCTGTTTTCCACCCTGCCTCATAAATCAGCAGAATTGCCAGCCAGCTTCTGGCCCTGGATCTGGCAGCAAGCAGGAAGCAGAAAAGAAGTTTTCATTCCAAAGGCTAGATTAAGCTTGCAGTGCTTGGGCTTGGAGCTATCTTGTTTTGACTTGCACAAAAAGCAGAAGCAACCCCCAAAACACCCAACCCAAAGCACCCAAGAGAAAGTTAATTCCAGCACCCACCCCAAGGATCCCATTGTCATGCTCTCTCTTTTGAAAAAGTGAGTTTAAAGCCTGACGAAGCCCACTGCTCAGTCTCACAGGATCGACAGTGCTTTGGAAACTGGAACTATGCTAAGACAAGATAAAAGTCCCCCAATATTCCTGTCGGTTGGATAGGAGACGCGACGGAGAAGGAAGAAAGCAGAGTGATGCCAGGCCGGTGGCAAAGTGGGACAAAACATTTGAATTTTCCACATGTGCTTTGTTTTGTATTCTGCAACATAAAATAAAATAATGAGAAAACCCATTCCAAATATTACTTCTATAAACCTTCCCTTTTTCAAGAGCATCTACCTGGACTTTCTATCAGTTCCTCTGTTCTCTCATTTGTCCTCATATCTCCTTCACTTTCACTGTAAGTTCTTCTTTCAATTTTGACTTCATGGAATTTAACCCTGTCTTTCTCCGGAGTATTTTTTGGGGTGAGCTTGCAGGTGGGAGCAAGCACTGCACTGCCATCTCCTGCTTCTCCACGCTGCTCATTTCTTACTTTCCACGAGCCCAGACAAGCACGGACATCCCCGAGGCCAAGGAAATAAAGAACACAAAGACTCAGCAAGCCAGTTTCACTGTCTAGGAAGCAACCTCATGAAAAAAATAAGAAAACATATCAGAGCTATAAAAATGGGTGAAATCTCTGACTGCACAGAGAAAGTGATAACGGCGCAAGCTGGGAAAGCACGTATCTTATTTCAGCAGTTCCCTGCCGCTACAGAGGAGCCTCGCGCTTTTGTGGCACCTTGAGTTTCTCAATGACTGTAACGCTTTGGCCCAACATTGGCAGGCTTAATATAGTGGCAGCCGGGTGAGGCTTAATGGCCTGTGCTACAGAGAAGGTCAGGCTAGATGATCAATGATCCCCTTCGAGGCATCAAAATCAAAGAGAATCTCCTACTGCTTATTGGATTTAACCCATGTAACCCAAAGAATAATTGCATCGTGGGAAAATATTTCTGGGTTTTGTGCAGGATATCATTCATTTCAAAGCATCTGTCCAAAAGGACAACTTCACATCTGGAGGAGAGCCAGAGGTAGAAGCTGTCCCATCACGCTCACATCTGATTTCGCAGAACAAACAGTAACAAAGTCACTTCTTTGCATCCTGATCCTTTCCCACACCCAGCCCTCGATGTGTAGCACATGCCGTATAAACCACCATCAAAGATCCTGCCACGTAAATCCAGCAGCACCTTGTCATAAACAGAACGAGTAAATATTTTGAAAATATCCTGTCCTCAAAGGTGTTCACTAAGTTTGTGCATTTAGAATATCTGTTTATGTCAAATATTTTGGCATATGAAA